AAGATTCATGCACACCAGTGTCAACACTGTAGTATATGGTGTGCATGCACAGCTTTTGTCTGTGGGGAACAATTACCAAAGATGGACATGAAGATCTTTATTACAACAGATTATTATTACCACAGAAGATGTGCCAGGAAAATACAAACAGTGTATATTAAACCATATGGAGAATTTGCTGGTACATGGAGCTCAAAGTGCTTCTTCCACAATCCCCACCTACCCACAGCCTGATCAATGCCCATCATCTGTGCACAAAGTTTAACTTTGTTTTATTAATAGTACCACAAAATCTGGATATATAAGTAAGTGCCCTACTATATAAAGCAATATATTGGGATTTTTTTTTCCTGCTGAAATAATTTCTAATTTAGTTACTATAGAAACCATCCTGCAGCCATCCTAAAAAAAATCTCTGTATATATTTACACTCACACTGAGAAGAAGAGGAGAAAAGCTGGAATGTACCTGTACATGCAAGAGACAAATGGCCAAAACCACCAGATTTGACAGAAAATAATAGGAACACAGCTGAAACTTCTTAAAATCTAAGAGCAATATTCATTCACATGATTGCCATCACTAACAAAGCCATGAACATGCAAAAACCTCTGCTCACAGAAAATCAGGGCTTTTCTTTACTGCTTGGGAAACAAATAGGTACAATAATGCAGTAACACTATTTTTTCTTAGAACTGACAAAGGGAAGTTCTGAGCACCCTGACATTACTCTAATATGTCAAATGAGAAGAAGTCAGGGCTAACTGAACATGCCTTTTTTGCTCATTTAAGTTGCAGATGAGTGACAGCTAACAAATTATACAACAGTGACACACAGATCCAGACCAGCAGTTCTGCAGTAAAATTTAACAAGAGACAGCTTTACCCAGGTTTATTTCTTTTCATACAGTGCTGTCATAAACATTTCATAAATAATTCTACTAGGAGTATGCATGATTTATAAAATGTCTGGGAGGAGTTGCTAGCTTTCTCTCTTGCACTCTGTTGTTTGTACTTGTAAAATTGAGTCAGCTGTAATTTCAACAACCCTAAATCTTCTCTACAAGAGATTAAAAACACCAGTGCTACTTGCTGCAGAAGAAAAAGGTATTCCAGTAGTAAAGTATCTACAGAAAGCCACTGAGACAATCATTTAACTCTTCTGTATCATGAAGGTTGAAGAGTTCTCAAAACAGAAAACCAAAGGCATTTTATGGCAGCAAATAAACACCTTGGGTAAAAGGTTTCTTTTGGAAATAACCCTGGGGGACATTAACAGGCTGAGAAAATCTTAAGGTTGGCCATTTAATTTCTAAGATTAGATGGGACTAGTTTTGCAGAGTGCTAGGATTTGTGTTTTATCACCCCAGTCTGTATGTGAAGACAGGAGCTGGGACAGTGGGCTGCAGCACCATCTGCACAGGGGATGACACACTCTGCTCTGGCCCAGATGGTGCAGCTCAGCCTCTTCCCCACTGCTGCCTGGGAGCCTTGCCTGGGAACAGAATAGCTGTGCCTAAACCCAGGCAAGGTCAATGCAGAGCTGAGAGGTTGTTTTCCAAGTTGTTCACGGATTTAGGTTTGTCCAATTCTGGAATGTCAGCTGACACCACCAGCTTTTTGTCATGGGCACTTGTGGCCCTTTCCCTCTCAGATCTGGATTTTCTCACTGTGCTATGTCTGTGTCATCTGTTCTGGATTAATGCCACATGCTTCACACAGTGTTACTTGAAGAGGATTTTGAAAATATTGCTGAGTAGAAAATGAGACCACCAAAACATTTCATCATGCTGAACTGTTCCCAGGAAGACAAACCTACATGCATGCAGAGTAAGTCAAGATGTCCCCACAGCTGAGACACTGAGTTCATCCCCAAACCAAAATTTTTAAAGCCTGGAGACAGTGATCTACATGGAGGACTCCAGACTAACACTACCTTTGTATGTTGACAGACCCAAGTTCACACTGAGAATATAATTTACAAATAGCTTCTATCTTTTCTACCAGTATTCCAATATATTGCACTGGGCCAGCATATACCTTTTGTTCAAGGTTGTCTATTTTTTCATAGTGTATCTAATTTCTGATTAAAGAATTCCATTATGGGAATTAAGTTTTTGTTGATTTACAAAATAACATTATTATACCGCTGTCAAGTATCTTATGCTAGTACTTTTCATCCTTCAGAGTATAAAAACATCAGTATGCAGAGTAAGAAATAATTACTTTCTGAAATAATACTAGAAAATTCCACCTAGGAATATAGTGGAATCTCTTTAAATTAAATTAGCTAGCATTAGCATTCAAAAACTAGGCATGATTTAGGTCAACCACTGATCTCTCTTAATGTGGTAATTCACATTTTCTAGTAGAAACACTCCCTTATACACACCTCTCAGTCCCCTACTGCTCATCTTCCTCATCCATTAAAACAGAATACTGACACTTAACCCTGCAGTGATGAACAAGTCAGCCTTGCTCATGCAAAGCTCACACTTGGCTTGAAGCATGTTGAATAATTCCATTCATTTCCACAAGAACACTTTGCACTATGTGAATCTGAGTCCAAGCATTCAGCAGTGTCAGGGGCTAATCACAGCAGGATTTTTGTAGGGAAAACTGGCAGCCAGTGCAGGGAAAGCAGCACAAAGCTGTGGAGCCATCAATGAGGTGCCACTGTTTAGTCTGTCCCATCAGCTGTGCCCTGGGTCCAGCTGGGACAGAGTTAATTCTATTCCCAGGGGCTGCTGCAGAACTGGTTTGGATTCAGTGTGAGAATAATGTTGATAACACACTGATGTTGTAGTTGTTGCTAAGCACTGCTTACTCTAAAGCAGTTTCCCAGGCTCTGCCAGTGAGGAAGTGCACGAGGAGCTGGGGGAGCATGGCCAGGAAGGCTGACTGGAACTGGCCAGAGGGTGAGGAGAGGGATGTACCCAAACCAGTACAGAAACTGGGGGGGCTGCTGGGGGGCTGCTACATCAGTCAGCAGGTACTGAGCAGCTGGATTGAGCATCACCTGCTTTTCTTGGGTTTTGTTCCTCTCTATTTCTTATCTTCCTTTCATTATTGTTATTATAATAGTTTTTATTTCAGCTTTTTAACAGAGCTTAGTCCACAGGCTTTACCTTTGCTCTGATTCTCCTCCCCATGCCATGGAGGGAATGGGAGGGGAGTGATCAGATGGGTGCATGGTATTCAGCTGCTGGCTGACAGCACTTGTTAATCAAAACTTTTCTCCAGAAAGATGCAATGATATAGAAACCCTTTTGCAGACTGATCCATGAATCAATGTTGAACCATTGTCAATATTCCTGTGCTGTTTAACCCACCTGAGGGATTATCATCAGACATGAGCACTTACCTTGTACTTAAAAGAGGTTTGCAGAGAGGTGCTAATTAACACAACATACAGCAAAAATGAAGATAGGTGTTAACAGATATAAAGCTGAAATAAATTTCACAATTCCAATACTAAAACAGAAGCACTGGATGGGAAAGTAGAGACACAAAATTTTGTCACTGCCATCACAGGCAGCCACATAACAGATGTGGACTGTACTCAACCCAGAATGACAAACAGAGCACCTCCAGGCTCTCCAGAACTGCTAAAGAGCCCTATCACCAAAGAACAAAAGGCAAAAACCCTGGGACATAGCACAGAAAAGCCAAAGATACCAGAGACAACAGCAGTGTGTGAGTGGCAACCCCAGCAGGGAACTGAGGGATAAATGCCCATGTGAGTCTCAGGAGCATTCTGTGTCCATGGCAGTGAGAGGCACAGACACCTGGGGAGGTGATCACAGGCACAGGGACAGTCCACAGACACAGGGACAGTCCTGGAAGTGATCACAGGCACAGGGACAGTCCTGAGGAGGTGATCACAGACACAGGGACAGTCCACAGACACAGGGACAATCTACAGACACAGGGACAGTCCTGTGGAAGTGATCACAGACACAGGGACAGTCCTGAGGAAGTGATCACAGACACAGGGACAGTCCTGAGGAGGTGATCACAGACACAGGGACAGTCCTGAAGTGATCACAGACACAGGGACAGTTCTGGAAGTGATCACAGACACAGGGACAGTCCTGTGGAGGTGATCACAGACACAGGGACAGTTCTGGAAGTGATCACAGACACAGGGACAGTCCTGAGGAGGTGATCACAGACACAGGGACAGTTCTGGAAGTGATCACAGGCACAGGGACAGTCCTGAGGAGGTGATCACAGACACAGGAACAGTTCTGGAAGTGATCACAGACACAGGGACAGTCCTGAAGTGATCACAGACACAGGGACAGTTCTGGAGGTGATCACAGACACAGGGACATTTCTGGAAGTGATCACAGACACAGGGACAGTCCTGAGGAGGTGATCACAGACAGGGACAATCCACAGACACAGGGACAGTCCTGTGAAGTGATCACAGACACAGGGACAGTTCTGGAAGTGATCACAGACACAGGGACAGTTCTGAAGTGATCACAGACACAGGGACAGTCCCTGTGACAGTGCTGCTGCCTCACTCTGGGGCTGGGAGACTCTTTCTGCTGAGCCATGCTACAGAGAGCAGAGCACAAGAAGGCTCCTTCCAACTCAGCAGAGCTCTTAGAGCAAATAGCACTATTTTTCATCATGAGAACTGCAGGTTGAGTTGAGAAACAATAAACAAGAGGATAATTAAGATGAACAAAATTAGAATTTTTAAAGAGGGCTCAGCCATCAAGTATATGATAAATGATGCATAACTGAAAAAATGTTGGTGCTTCTCTCCCCATGCTTTCAAGCTCACCAGAAATAACCCTTCAAGGGAAATATTCACCCAGTAAATATCTCTGTAATTCTCCTTTCCTTTACTTGCTCATGGCTTGTTTAACGTGCCTGTGTGGAATTTCACATCCCCATCCCTTTGCAGACCTTTCCAATGAGAAACAGGTGTCTCAGGGCTGGCTGAGAACACAAGTGCACTGTGTTTATCAGCTGTGTAAACTTACATTGAAGAAGTTGGTCTTGTTCCTCTCACAGAAGAGGCCCTGTGCAGGCATGTGCTTCAGCTGCTGCCAGGGCACCCCACTGCCCAGCAGCACGTCCCGGGCCCACTGCAGGTTCTGTGGACAACAACAGCCAGGTCAGATGGAGGCAGGGATGGCACTGGCACATTTTCTGAAAAATCCTCTTTGCCCAGGGTTCTTCCCCTGGGAAGCAGAGAAACCTCAGAGAAAAATGCAAACAATAATTGTTTTAACTTAATGACCAATCACAGCCCGGCTGTGTCAGGACTCTAGAGAGAGTCACAGGTTTTTATTATCATTCTTGTAGCCTTCTGTCTGTATCCTTTCTCTCTTCTGTAGTATAGCATTATTTAATATAATATAATATCATAAAATAATAAATTAGCCTTCTAAGAACATGGAGTCAGAGTCATCATTTCCTCCTTGGTCCTGGGGACCCAGCAAAAACCACATGGGGGATGCAAAAGCCACCACAGGTGAAAGTATAAAACAAACTATACTTTTGTTTATTAACCTGCAATGTCTTTTCTCAGTTTTGTCATAGTTGCTGCTCCATTCTCCCCACACACTCTCTGGGAGCACTCCCAGCTCTTCCTGGGCCAACCACCTGCAGGGAATAACCTGCCAGGGCTGAGGCCTCGACCCTCAGGCTCAAACTGCAGCTTTCTTTTAGTGGGGAGGTGAGTTCAGAGCTTTTGGCCCCACCCAGGCACTGCCCTCCATGTAAATTCACTTCACCTCCCTGGAAATTCCACAACTGTCATCAAACTTGGATAACAGTGCTCAGTGAATTAACAAGAAATTATCAGTAGGGGACCAAATGATAGATGACAACCAAAATTGATAAAAGCACTATCCCTCTAAAATTTCAATGCATGAAGTTCTCTTTTGTAGCTGAGAACTAGGGACAGCTGTTGGCTCCAGGCAGAATGTTACCAACAGATGGGACAATTATTAATTGTGAGATTTCACTGATGGAAGCTTTGCTTTACTTCATTTTTTATTTCAGGGTTCAAAAGTGGCATTTGAGTTGCATTTGACCAGCTTTTGTACAGAAAACTTCACAAGAGAGGACCTGAAAGAAAGAGGGAGATGTTTGGTTCATAGAGACAAATAAGAATGTTGCACTCTGGCTTGTGTTCTGTGGTCTGGAAATACACTTCTGTGAGTCATAAATGTGATTAAATCATGTCCATCCAAGAAGCATATTCCAGCTGTAATATCCTTTATTTGTGTATATGTTTGTTGTTGGGGTGGGGGGCTTATTAGAAAAGTTCCTGTGTTCCAGAGTATTTTTATTTTTAAGACCCTGGTGAAACAGTAGAAGCTCTGCTCAATCATCAGTGCCTTTGTGCTAATGACAGTAATCATGCAGAAATCTCCAATGTCTCACCAGAACTGCAGCATCCCCTCGAGCAAAACGCTGATGATGGATTCATGTGCAGGAGAGCTGAACACTGGCAATAATAACCAGATATTTATGGGTGTCAAAAATCCCTCATTCCAAGGGCTCACAGAGGTACTTACACAGGACATTCATGATTATAGTGCAGCATAATCAATGGGATTTGGACAGCTTGGTTTTGGTATGGAACAAATACATATTCTCTCATAAACATCATAAGGTACTTTCTGGCTGGTCATGGATATCAGTAAATTTAATTATTATCACTGAGTGTCAAATTTAATTAAGACTGAAGAAAGCAGAAGGTGTAAACTCAGCTGTATACTAACTTTGTTCTACATAACTTCTTTTGTAATATGTATTTTTGTAATCCAGTTAACCTAATCCTGAAAAATACTTGGAAATACATACAGAAGAAAACACAAGACAAGAGAAGCTACAAAAATCTGGTCTTCCATGAAAGCCATCTTGTTTTGAATAAAATCAGAATCCAACAAAAATAAGCCTATTGGATCATCCAAGATCCAGGCAGAGAAAATGCTTTATTTTGTGCTAATCATAGTCATCAGAAGTGAAGTTAATTCCAAGTGTGAAAATGAAGTAAGACTTGCCTAATGTGTGGTAATCTGAATCTTACAGTTAAAACTATCACATAAAAATTCAAGGAAAACCAAATCTTTAAGAAAGTTACCATCCCACCACAAAGCTTAAATCTAAAATCCCAGTCTCAAGAAATGTTAGCTGTGGATGTATTCTCAAATGAAAACAAGGAAAAGGTTAAGAGCTCATTAATTGTGTCATTAATTGTAGCATCATGCTCTGGTGCTGGGATGTGCAATGCACAGGACACTGACCATCCACAGGCATGTGTTTGGTACACATAATTCACAGGCTTTTATTGAACAAGATGATGGCAGCAGCCCAGCTAGGAGGAGAAAAGATCATTCAGACAAATGGGGCAATTACACGGTAACTTCACACAATCAAAGCTAATAGGAATAAAAGACATAGTTACAGATTTTCCACTACCCTTCTCCTTAAATCAGCATGATCACTTATTCCCAGTAAATATGCCTGAGCAGGTCTCAACTCATTAGATTTTACAGAGTCTGCTCTGCTTGGTTTTCAGCTGATGAAGTTATTAGGAGTGGGTGAAGGGATCCAGGACACAGCAAAAAGGATTTATTCTTCTTGGCACACTGCTTGCCAGCCTCAAATGCTGGATTTGGCTGTCTGACTCAGGGCAATTATGAAATACTCTTTCCAGTTCAGCTGTTGCCTCCCACATCTTTATCACCCCAAGATTCAAAGACAAGATGACTGACAGGGTACAGTAACTTGCAAAAAAGCTGAAGTAGAAAAGGAAAATCTCTTAAGGTCAACCAAGTGGAACTGAGTCACCTGGGATGGACACCCCGTAACTCAATGGTGTCAGAAACACCTTTACCTAAACTGGAAACTCCACCAAGTGTTTCTGGGAGGTGAACAAAACACTCCACTATATTTTAATCCTTCCCTCTGATTTCATTGACAGTCCATTAGAAGGCTTTGTCTCAAAAACCTCCTCCTCCATCAAAGAAAAGCAAAATAAAATGACTACTGATTTGAAGGGTGACCTTTAAAATGAACTGTTATTATCAGACTGTTTCTACTTGAAGTGCTTGCATCTATTATGCCTCCAGATTATGTCTGTCTCTAAGTACATATTAAGCCTACAAACATATAATCTTGTAATTTTTACATGCATGTATTATGGTGGTTTGAGCAACCTGTCACATCACTGACCTCATGTCACACCCAACATTTATTTCCCCATTAAGGGCTGTGCTAATAACAGACATTACAGAACACACAAACTTCAAAACTCACACAGTCTTTGTGAGCAGATTCTTGCAGGATTTACAGAGCACTTTTCATTTTGAGATTAAAAAAAACCATGCAAGTAAATATTTTTCTTTCCTGACAACCTGCTGGTTACAGATTATCAGACCAGTTCCACATCCTGATCCATAAGGACCATAAGGTGAATACTTCACACTGACAAACAGTGCCATGTCCTAACTTCTCCTTCCAAACTGTGCCAACATTCATTTTGGAGGCAAAAGTCACAAAGAATGAAGACTTTACTTCAAGACAATACTAACAGGAAGCTGAAACTACTGCCCAAACTGGCAATGAAGCCACTTCTGAAAATTCAGTTGTATTTGCCTGCACATTTACTCCAACTTAAGACAGCTATATATAAATAAATATATTATATTTATAAATTTCTTCTGATAACAGACTAAAACAAAGAAAAATAGACTCCAAATATTAAGCTGGATTTTGCAGGGGGAAAAAAAACCCCAACAGAACATGTAGCCAAACAAAATGTTCATAGAGTTTGAAAAGATGTTTAAAAAAGCACTCAACTATCTTCACTAATCTCACAACAGCAAAACCAGGAAAGCTGTGAAATGGGAGAAAACAGATTGCATATGGAAAACTTGTTTTTCTGAGCACTATGGAGACCTGCCAATCCTCTCCTCTTCCCAGCCAACCATGAATTTTGGCCATCAGTCTAAATTCTTCATGCAAATTCCTGGCGTTGGAACATAAATGCTGAATTTTCCAAGATGGTTATACACATTTAAAAATTAATTTCAGTTTTCTAAAATTTACCACTCTGCCCCCCAACAACACAACCTGATGTAATTGATCTCATTTTTTAAATCAGGCTGATCATGAGTAAATGTAAGCATAATTCTTACTGCTGACAGTGACCCATTTTGTGTTTTAATTTTCTGCAGGAGTGTAACTTCCATTAGAGACACAGTAATGTGCCATTAAAACACAGACATTGGATATTACTCTACAAAAGAACCTGAATGAGTCACTGAAGAAAGAAAATGTAAAACCCATGTGAAAATATGTCGTGCACATATAGCAATAAGAAGATGGTTTTGGGTTTTGCCATGTCAAGTGTTCATTATGCATTCTGCAGAAGTAATAAAAAGGTAATAAAAAGTAAAACCCAAAAATGCTCCTTGAAGCCAGCCTGCTAACTACTAGGCTCAAACAGGCAGGATTCAGTTTTTCTGAGTTCCAAGAGGAAACAGATTTAGACAACAATGTGTATTTCACATGGAAATCCATCACTGAGTTGATATTTATATAAGGAGGGAGATATAAAAAGCAAAAGAGAAAGCTTCATCAGGGAAAAATAATGGAAGAAAATATTTTGCAAGTAGTTCCTCAGGCAAGGCCATGCTATCTGAACCAATAAATTGAAAACAGGCAGCCTTTTTTGTTGAATGTTGATACAAAATCATGTCAGCAACAGTAATGACAGATTGCAGGAATCTATGGCTCCTATTCATGATGAGCTCCATGGAAAAATTAACAACTGTTACATACAAACAGCATAAGAATGTTTTCAAAACAAGCTCTCTATAAAAAAGAGTGATATTTTTCTGATAATCATTCTACAGACAAATGGAATATTCATCACCTCCCAGTAGGCTGGCAGGACCTGCCTGTGCTCACTCTGCAGTGCCACTGGGACATGGCTGCCCCAGACCAGGGGTACCATTTGTTTCCCCTCCCTGTTGTTCACATAAGCTTCAGTACTGGTGGGGAAGAGAACTCAGGAAGCCAAGCACAGCAGCATGTGATCTAATACAAGACTTCCAAATATAAAATCTGTGAATTTAGACCTTGATTATGACAAGCAGTAAAATACCTCTGATCGTTTCAATGCACTATTCCTACACATTTTACCAATAAAGACTCAGGATACCCACAAAGTCTATCTGTGTCACATGATGTGTTTACACAATATTGATTAATTTCTGCTTCCAACTCAATTTTCAGTCCACTTATTCAGTAAAATAAATAATTGCTGTCATTTTTATGAGAACATCTTAATTTATGTGACATATCTAAAATGTAATTCTCTGCTGAATGACAGAAATTACTTAGTTCAGTAATAAAAAAAGAAATTTTCTCCTTAACTGACCTCACACATGAGTCAGACAATCTAGGAGCTGATGACTTCCCCAAGTGTAGCTTCATTCCAAACTGCACTGAACAAGCTGTATTTTAGCACTGACACTTCTGCACCAGTGCCAGTGGCAGCACAGTTGGTTGGCTGGGGTGTTGGACAATACTCTTTTCCTGACCCACAGATGGGTTTTAAAACACCTGAGAGGTGTTTCAAAAACTTTTATTCCATTTTCAGTCTCATGAGGAGGGTGAGACAATATAGATGTTATAATTCACACCATCACAATCAGAAGCTAATTATTTCCTAATTACAATACAAGTGATACACTATAAGTGAAACACTGTAACTGTTTCTTGGCCTGTCAGCTTTAGCCACACCATGCTGTAGATGCCTTGAAGCCAATCAAGTAAAATCACTCATCGTGGGTCTTGCTACAATGCATCTTTCACAGTTCTATTCCTCCAAAGTATCCAGTCTTATTTGCAAGGCCATCTGTCAGGACCCAGGACATCCCTCTGGCTGTCCAGGACCCCTGCCAGGGGGCTCAGAAGCCCTGGCACAGAGCCCAAAACACCTGTGGGTTTGATTGTGACCCATGGAGCAAATCACCAACCTTAGATGAAGATCAGCAAGCCACAACAGTTTAGGTAGAATAATAGTGAAGTTATCATGGGGTGGAAAAGTAGATTTTGGGGTTTTGGTATGGGGGTTCAGGAGGCAAGATGGAGGGAACTGGGTGTGTCCAGCCTTTCTCCTTCTTGGCCTCCACCTTCTGCTGTGATGTTGGCACTTTTGGATTGGTTTAGAGTAGAAGCTCACTGTCTGACACAGGTGATGGGTATTGGAAAGGAATTGTAAACATTGTACATGTAGTTTTTAGTACAAAGCCATAACCCTGCCCTGGGGGCAGGCAGAGTGCCTGGAACTGTCCTGCTGGATGGACCTCAACAGGGCAGGAGAAATTTTTTGTAGATAAGAAACAATGAACAACCTTGAGACTGAGAAATGAAGAGCCCTGACTCCTTCTTCAAGCACCAGGCTGGGAAAAGAGACTTTCAAACTTTTCTCAGGGTCACTCTGATAAGCTAGAGATCCTGACAGCCATCCTTTGAAACTTGTTTCTGGTTCAATTTCTCTCTCAACAAGAGCTGAGCTAGAAAGCTGATAGAGTTGATAGAGCTGATAGAGCCTGTCCTATTCCATGGCATTCCTAACTCAGCATTTCTTATCTCAAGGCCTGCAAACACATACCCAGTGAGAACTCCCTCCAATGGCAATGCCCCTGGGCTCAGAGCTCACCTTGTGTGTTTTGCTGTAGGTGTAGAGGTAGGCCAGCCTGTAGAGGCTCTTGTAGTGCTGGGGGAAGCGGCTGAGGCACAGGCAGAAGGAGGAGATGCACTGCTCCGTCAGGAACTTGCGCTGCTCCTCCAGGTCTGCGGGGAGGCCCTGGGGGAACTCACAGGCATCCTCTGCACAAGGCTCAGCCTTCTTCTTGCAGTCCCACTGTGAGCCTGGGGCCATGGCAGCTCTGAGGCCATTGCCAGGAGCACACTGAGGGTCCAGCAGCAGCTTCTGGGCAGGAGGCTCTGTAGGATCGTAAGATACGGAGATCTCCAGCAGCTCCTCTGATTTTCCTGCAGTTGGAACAGTAAGAGGAAAGTGACACAAAATTGCCATTTCCAAATGGCAAATGACATCTAGAAAATGACAAAAATTCAGTATGACAAAAGGTAATCCTTTTCTTCATTAAAGCACAGACAGAAATATTGAAAAAAATTTATGACTATTTGTGGTGTTCATTGAACAAGTGATCTGCAACTCATTGACAGAGCCACACAGTGGTGGCTCCATTGTCTTCATCCTGGGTATCAGGATAAAGGATAAACCTTCATCTGGGTTTATCCTGGTATCTCCATTGTTTTCATTTACATTTTATCCTGGTATCTCCATTGTCTTCATTTACATTTTATCCTTGTATCTCCATTGTCTTCATTTACATTTTATCCTGACATCTCCATTCCCTTCATTTGGGTTTTACCCTGGTATCTCCATTGTCTTCATTTACATTTTATCCTGACCAATAGTATGAATTCAGCACACCTTACACAATGAAGGGTTTTACATACTCTTGGAAGATTGAGGAGGAGGAGGGAAAAAAGCCAAAATAAAAGAGTAAATTCAGGAATATTTTATTGCAAAGAAAAGAAGAAAAAACAGAAAATTAATGCCACCCTCCCAAGTGAAATGTATTACTCTTAATAGTCTGCCTAGAACACAATCCCAGCACACAAAATGGACTCAGACAGAAGGATCAGCAGCAGCTCACCTGGTCTTCTGCACAATGTAGGACCTACAGTTCCATGTAAATATTTCTGTGATTATTTTGGCAACTTATAATTCAATTCACCCATCTTTTGTTGAAGGATACCAAATCTTACTTCAGAAGTCATTTTGTTACAGTGGCAGCTTCCACATTTCCTGTTAGCTAACATTGCTGCTGGAAACACACATCCTACATGCAGATTAATTTAACTTTGATCTTCAGTCATGGAAGTTTCCCATGTCTTTGTCTTTGCTAGGATAAAGAGCCTCTTACATTAGATCTTATCTCCCAGCAGAGTGTAGAGATACACTAAAATGTACTTCATCCTCAAATATAAAGCTGCTCCATAACTTTTTCTCTCATAAGGCTGAATTTTTGAGTCAAACATGTTTTATAGAACACACATTTTTCAAAATGTGCTTGCCTGATGTCTATATCCAAAATAATTTTACTCTACAGGTAGCTTTATGGGAAACAACATCTGTTCTAATAAACACCAGTAATTTAAGAATGCATTTGATGGTTTTTCTGACAGACAAATGATGACAGTAACACAGCTCACTGCAAGCCTGAAAAAGAGCCAGGATTTTACTCTAGTAGCCAAAAGACTACTGGGTTTAGTGAATATGGAAGTAGCATTTCACAAAACTGGGAACTGGCATCTATTTCAGCATGTTAATGCAAGCACCACCACAGGTTTCCTTAGCTTAGGCAAAACTGAAGTTAATGTTTTTAAAAACAAGAAACCAAGGTAATCCAAGCCTGCAAACAAAGATATAACTGCTTGGCACTTGTTCCTAGTGAGATCAGGGAAGTGATTCAGGGCTCTCTCCATAGCATGATCTCTGGAGCTCTGGAACTGGGAAAGTGTGAACTGGCAAAGAAGACTGAACATCCCACAAAAAGCCACAGCCTGGAAAGGCAGACAAGATTTACACACTGGTTTTGTTTGTCTTTCCCTGTTGAAGTCCAGCCTCTTTATCTACTGCCACATCCAACTGTACAAACATCAGACAAAGGGAAATTCCAGCTAATGGATTTTGAAACCATTTTTCCAGTGGAATACAGAACACTTAGTACCATTATATATGGAAAAATCTGGTAGAGAGCAATTCTAGCTCTCTACTGGAATGAAGTATACAATGGAATAAAGCAGCTAAATTCTACTACTTAGGCTCTTCTCTGTACTGAATATTAAGCTGCTACTGGGACAGAACAAAAAGGGCATCTATTCCTGGGAAAAGTAAAAAAGTCTTGTTTGAGACTATATTCAAATAACTACTCTTTAAATTATTTAAAAATACAAAACACTGAAGAAAAAGCAAATAATAACCTAAAAAAAGGCAAGCCAGTCAAAGGGCCAGCAGACAGCAGTTTAGTTTTTCTTTGTAAGATTTACCAGACAGAACAAATTGAATTGGTGGACAAATGAATGGGGCACAGCTCTAAATTTAAGCTACACACATACAGGCAGCAATGTTACCTAGTTAAAATCCTTAGTCACAGTGCAGCATATTTCAGTGCATCTGCAAGCCAGGAGAAACATTTTCATCAAACTCCTGCAGCTGACATGCTCTATTAAATCAGGCATACCCTTCTCCTCTGCAGATCCCAGGGTCTCTTTGCTGAGCACCAGTGTATCAGCACAGGTAGCAGAAATCCTCTTCTCTGTGTAAGTCTTCTTCAGGCTGTCCTGAGAGCTGGCAGGCTCATTGAACATATCCTGTGTGGAGCTGGAGTCAGACAGCACTGCTCCAGTGCTATCCTGACTCCTCTCTGCAAAAGAGATAAAGAAGGAATGCACCTCTCTTCATAGTCCTCAAGCTGCTGCTTGTCTCTTGGTAACAGCAACACAAAACTCTGCAAACTCTTACAACTGCCACACAGGATCCCTAAGCACCACCAAGAAAAGGTATTTCATTCTCACCAGATTCCTTCCTAGAATATATTCCTGGAATTTGATTCAAAAGCAATAAAGCTCAATTTTCAAGAGCAGTTAGGCTAGGGACACAATATTTCAGGCAGTATGGCCCTGGAAAATCTCCCAGGTTTACTGGAGCATTTGCCTTGAAAAGCACCCAGTGTAATTTTGAACCAGAAACAAGCAAAGTTCAATTGACAAGAGAAAACCATGAAGAACAATACTGGTAAAAATTACTCATGAAAGAAAGAAAAATCAGTAAAATTAGAGGGCAAAGACTTACAGGAGTGATCTCTGATGCCAACTATCCTGCAGGTGTAAGATGCTATTCAACAAACACTCTGAAAGGTGATTTAATATGGCAAATAAACAACACATCAAAGAACTAGGCCTAACACAGAGAGGGAAACTGGACTTCAGGGCAGCCATAGAAGAAAAGAAGAAGTGACTTTACCTTGACAGAGTGGAGCAGGGGCTGCTGACTACAGTACAGTCACAACTAAGCTGTTAATGTGCACAGGAACAGGCACTGAGACTTTATCAGAGGGGATAAAACACACCTCAGAACAGGCAAGTGCAAACCTCCCACTCATGTCTGAAACCTGCCAGATTTAACCCAAGTTCTTTACATCAAGGGTTAGCAGAGGCAACCCTGCATGAGTAAAGAACACAGCTGAGTCTCTCTGACAGAAAGAGGCCTGCACATTCCCACTGAGATGGGAAACTGGCATTTTTCCATATTGTTCCAACATAATTCAGTGTTCAATATAAAATTCCAATACAAGCAATTCCCTTTAAATCTGGAGTCCACAAGAATTATTTCCAATTTCTTCTTAAGCTACTGATACTTGATTCTGTCCAATTTCTTCTTAAGATACTGATACTTGATTCTGTGGTCTAGTTAAAGGTGGCCCTGCTCATTGCAGGGGTGTGGCACTAGATGATCTCTAAAGGTCCATTCCAACCCAAACCATTTCATGATTCTATACAGAAATGGCATAAGCAGGAGGGGGTTACATCTATTGTCTAGGCAGTTCCACTGCATTCTGATTCATTAATTTTATTGATAAGATCAAGAAAGAAAATTAACAAAGCAAAAGCCCTTGCTTTGAGATGAGCAGATAATTTAATTAAATTTCTTCAGTTCCATCTGAATTGCACTTGTTCAGGAGAGAGCTAAGGGCCTCCTATGAATTTATTTTATCAAGATAAATCCCTCTGCAAACCTTCAGCTTGCAGATCAGGTTCTGCTTATTAGGATTCCAATGAATTTAAACCAAATTTGATGCACTCTGTAGGTTTTTCACTACCACACAAAGACAACCTTCCCTTTCAGTGAGCAGATCTTAATAAAACTCTCTATTGGAAAAGAATGGGGGAACAGTATTTGCTTCCTAATTGGAAGCTATAGAAGCTGGTTAATGATGACAAGTTTTATACAGAGAGAATATAATTGCAAAGAATGGGAAGAGAAGGATTCTGAAGAGAGGTCAGTCAAGCTTTAAATGACTCATTTATAAAGCTTTAATAACTTTCTGTGGTACAAATCAATACTATTGAACTCCCAGCTGACATCAGGAAAATCATTTACAGTACCTCCCTTGGAATTTTTTTTAAAGAAGTTTCTGTATCTGTGGCAAAGAGGCTGAATTACTTATCTAGGGGAAAAAAATTGCAAATTTCCAGATGTTGCCACAAGCCTGCAGGTCAGTTCTGATGTGTGGGTTATGACAGAGGAAGCATCAGAATGTCATAAATCAAGAAATGCCAGAGCAATATGCCTGGGTGAGATCAGATCACTGGGAAATTACAATAGGTTTTCATCATGCAAAGATAGACAATGATTCAACACATTAAATTTCAAATATATGCATGAGCTTTTCCTTATGGGAACCAATGTAAACACTCCTTACAATTAGCCAGCTAGTTTAATTTGAAATTTCTGCTTAAATGAATGTGGGTCTAGGTAGGGATGTTTATTCTCCTTTTCTTTCAATACATTAACCCTATTTAAAAAATGATATTAACATTGGGCTCCCTAATCACTGGAAAGCAGAGGAAGATGACTATTGAGACAACTTTCTATTATATTAGATATTCCTTGAATGCAGCAGATACTTTCAAACTAAGTGAGCCAGATGGAAAACCCTGGAGTATTCCAGAAATTAGCAGCAGCCACCAATTATTAGCATTAATTTCTCAGAAATCACAGAGGATGGGTAAAGTCCCAGGGAATGTAAAACAAAGTGTGGTGCTCATCTTTACAAAGGATGAAAGGTCAAAGCTGTGAGCCAGCCTGCCTTCATCTTCCACAGAATCATTTGAGCATAAAGAAATCAATCCTTCCCTAAGCACCTAAAAGGTAACAGGATCAGGAGTAGAAAATGTGTGAGTGGATCCCAGCACACACATTCCACATGTGAATTTGTGGTGAATTTGTGCCTCAAATCAGAACTGGCCCAAATGTCAGGCTACTCCAAACACACCTCAGCAAAGCAGCATTCTTGAATGTGCAATCAGTAACTTCACAGCAAAAAGATGTAAGAGCCTTCCTGTTCTACTGAGCACTAATGAAAATTAAACTTAATTACCGTGTCTGTATTTGGGACCCACATTTTAAAAAAGACACTGAAATAGGGAAAAATTAATTCAGAGGAGAGGATAAAAATGAGAGATTAATGAGATGACATATGAAAATCACCAGGAGAATTGGACTTATCTTAAAAAAGATGAGGTAGAATTTCCAAATACACATGATTAACCAAAATAAAAATACAATAATTGCTGTTCATATTCATTAGGTACAGTGCAAAAGGCAATGGGTTTTAATTGCAGCAAGAAAATTGACTTTTTTTTGCCCTCATCTCTATCTTAACTGCTACATACAGTTAGAAAATAGCACAGTGAACCAACCTCCAGAGTCACTGTGGGCTTTCAGAGACAGGCAGACAAACAGCCATCATTTGTTAGGTTACCTAAGATGTTCCTTAATATAATAAAAAGCTCTGCCAATACCTAAATTCTGCAGTGTGCAATGCAGAACTTGTGGCAACTGCACCAATTCACATCCTAACTCTGGTTTTCTAAAAAGAAAAGAAAATGCATATTTTGTATTGGAATTACTATTCTCTTCTAGCCAAGCTGCCAAACACAGCTCTTTTTATAAATATAGGTATGCTGGATGGATACATAGCAGATATTTCATATTGGTTGTGCTGTGAAGTTTTTCCTTTCTCTGGTAAGAGCAGAGTGCAGCTCAGACACTCATCAGTGCCACTTAACCTGTGTGCCAAGGGCTGCAGTGTGTGAGGCAGAGAGAATTCCAAATTCCCAACTGCTCTCAACACCTGCCCTCTGAATGACTCAAACCCATGGAGAACATCAATGCTTTTTAAGAATTTCTGCCATAATTAGAGACAATTTAATGCAACCCATTGTAATTTAAGAGTTAAAAATGATATGTTTTTATATATTTTTTATATTTCAATTTTTAAAATATTATATATTTTAATATTTTGTTTACCTATTTTCTTAGTTTCCCTATAAAATATTAAATATATAATATATAAATTTTTTTCCATTTAAAAAATATTTTATATTTTTTTATTTTGTTTACCTGTTTTCTTAGTTTCCCCACCCAGCAATAGCAATAAGACAAGCTTTTCCAAAAAGCTGGGGTGGTCCCTTGTTGTAAGAGATTGGTAAATCAAGGGCTAAATGTTCTTTTGAGGCTCCTCCCTGTAAAGTTTCCTATTACTTCAAAAGCTAAGATAAAAATACAGCTGGGTATTAATGTCCCAAAATTATTATCTGTAGCAGAAATGAAGAGCCTAGGGAGAAAGTTCTCCTAAATTGTGCATAAGTAACTGCAACTACATTCCTAGGAAAAATATGATCTGATAGTAGATGTTTCTCCTTGGTATTATTATATTTTGTTTCATTACTTCACTGCATCATTCCTAAGTTTTAGGAAGATTTCAAAGAACCTGATGAGCTGAAATCTCAATTTGATGTAAAGTTAAATATTTCATGTTTATCTCTAAAAATTTCAGAAAATGGCACTTGAAAGCAAGGGGTTTTTTTACCTCATTTCTCATAATGTCCTTAACTTGTGACATTTCATTTCACATCTGTGTCAGATTACATCCCCTACTCTGTCAACAGGTGAAAAAGAGCAGCTTTGGACAGGAGATTTAAAAAGGTCAAAAGAAGAATCTTGTTAACTTTCAAAGACATTAGTAAAAAAATACTAATTCTTATCAGAAAGATGTCATTGGGAAGAAAGAACTTGTATATTCATGTGTACTGCCAAGACCTTCACTGCATCACACTGAGCTCCTGTCAGACACATGGGTGATTAAATCACTGCCATTACTGAACCACATCTGTCAGAGATGTTAGAAAAAATATCTGAGGTCTGTTTGCCTTAATTCCATGCTTAAGAGCATTTTAACACTCATCTTATCCTGAATGAAATAGGTTTACTGGCTTGACTTCAAAAATCCCTGTTCGCACTACTGCTCCACAAGCAGCCACAGCCAGCAGCATGTCACTGTCACTGCTCCCTGCAGGCCAGCCACCACCAGGACAGAGCTGTGGCACACTCTGGAGAGCAGAAATGGCCTTAAAATGGTTTCATTTTAAAATGCAGCAGGAAACAGGGCTCAGAACTGCAGCAGGGACTGCCCTGTGCCAGCACCTCCCACAGGAGCCCTGGGACCCAAACTGAGCCCCCAGCACTGGGACAGGGACAAGGAGGGAGATGTGTCACTGCTGAGTGACCAAACTGAGCCCCCTCAGCACTGGGACAGGGACAAGGAGGGTGATGTGTCACTGCTGAGTGACCCAAACTGAG